GTCAAGGCTGCGTTCTTTTCTCCACAATATTCAATTATGCGATAGACTGGGTAATGAACACCGCTTGTTGGCACTTAAGGGGTATCCAAATCAGTCCAGAGCATCACAAATCGCTGATGATGTAGTCCTTTTTGCTGACAGTTATAACGAAATGCAATTATTACTAAATAACGTGTCAGAAACTGCAGCAAGAATCGGACTCAGGATCAATGTAAATAAAACGAAAATCTTTTCGTCTTACGTGCAAGAAGCTGATAAAATGCCTCTTTTTTGTAAATTCATTGCCGGTTGAGGAAATGCCCGATTTTAAATACATCTTGGGTCCACTCTAATACCAAATAGACAGGCAAAAGATGATATTATAACTCGGATCACGGCAGCTAGAAATGCGTTCTTCCGGTTGACGAAACCTTTATGGAATCGTCGTGAAATCACCATAAAAACGAAAGTCCGCATATATAAAGCCGTGATTCGTTCGATCTTCCTATATGGTTCTGAGACATGGCCAATGAGAGTGGAGGATATTAAGAAGTTATGACCTGTCTTTGACCACTCTTGTCTAAGGTACATTTTCTGGGTTCGTCGTGCGATTAGGATCGCATGATCGCATCCACCTTCGTTCAAATACCACTTGCATAAATAATGTTGTCATAGAGCGTTGCCTTCGGTGTTAGGGCATATTCTCCGTCGTCCACCAGAGGAGTTGACGCATATTTCGTTATTTGCTAAACCATGTGATGATTGGCGTCAAAAGCGAGATGGGCCAACAAGATCTGGACTGATACGGTCAGGAAAGATTTTGAACGTATAGGTGGACCAGCAACATATGGACTTAGACGATGGAAAAAAGAATGGCTTCCATTACTGTCGACGAGGCATCAGACCACGACGCTTGGAAGCGTCTTACAGCAAGCCTAACCAGTAATGGTGAGAGATGTAATAAGAAGAAGAAGAATAATTTTTCTGTTAATATCAATTTTATTTCAAAAAATTTTCCTATCAAATAAATTCTCTTATTTCCTTTTTGTCGATGCAATTTCACAATGCAATAATTAAAGTAAATAAAAATGAAATAAAAGTATAAATAAAAAACACGAAGTACTTCAGGACAATGAATTTGTCAAGGATAAGTTCTGATGAAATTGTGGAAGCAACGAAAAACTCAAATACTGAACGAGTAGTGCAGACAGAGAGAAATCCAAAACATATAATGTGGTGGTTTCGATTTTTTATTGGCGAAATCCACATTTTTCGGCGAACAATAGTATTCATACTCGCTCCCTTGCTTTTACTCCCATTGGCGTTCTCGCATGATAAAGTTAGCAGAAAAGTTTGAAACAGCGGTTTTTATAAATTTTTTTAATTTTCAATAATGAAGCAATCTGATTTTCTAATTTGACTTATTTTTTAATTTGTTTTTTCCTAAAATTCAATGCTATTGGAGAGCGTTTTTATAGCGAATGCGATGTTTATTTTGCATATCACTGATGGCTATATATTGGGTATGCGAAGTGATACCTTTAGCAGTTACAGCTCTTTTACCGATCGCTTTATTTCCCATCATTGGAATTCTTGATTCAAAAGCAATTGCCAAAGAATATTTAAACGTAAATGTTGCATCCGTTTCTTAAAAAAGAAATTTACAATTCTGTCTCCTTAGTTAATTGCAAGAAAATTGAACTAAGGATTTTTTTTTCTTATAATCTCTTCTATTAATTTCATATATTATAAAATTTTAAATTTATTTATTTAAAATTTAAATTTATTATTCAAATATCAATTAATATTAATAAATAACTTTTAACTAAATTCACTGCATCAGAAACAATTAAAGTAAAAAATAAAGTAGAAATAAAAATAATTAAAGTGAAAATGAATCCTAAAAAAAAGAGAAATTGATATTTAAAAAATGGATATTTTAGGATACGAATTTCCTTTTTATCGGAGGCCTCATGATTGCTATCGCTGTTGAAAAATGTGGTTTGCATGAAAGAATCGGACTGCGAGCAGCAACATTACTTGGGCCACAAGCCAAATGGTAATTTTGTCAGAAAACCTCCAAGCTTTAAACCTAATTAACCCTTATCCAGGCTCAAAAAAACTGGAAGTTGTGGAGGGAAATAAGACAAAATAAAATTTAAAATAAAATTTAGACAATAATTATTTTTAGATAATAATTAGAAAATTTAGATAATTTAGATAATAAAATAAAATTTAGAATTCCTATTACAGAAAAAATTCGTTAATTTTTATTATTCATTATCAACAAGTGATTCACAGTTTGTCTTAGAATTTCTAACAGAAGCATACAGAAAGTAAAATTTCTGTAGAATTATGATCAAAAAATTAATGCTGGCTGAATTCAATGAATTTTATCGTAAATATAAATAGAAGAAATAAGTAAGAATATTTCAGGGTTATGTTCGGCTTAATGCTTGTTACGGCAATTTTAAGGTATGCTGTATACTATTTCTATTAAAGTCATTTGATTTTAGTCAATGAGAAATTTCATAAATTCTAGGAATTTAAAACTGAAATAATTGAAAGAATTCTAAAAAAATGATGTATTATTAAATTTAGTTTTGAAACTTGCAACTTATTTTACATTATGAGAATATTTTCAAGCATGTTCATCTCTAATACAGCAACGACTGCGATGATGCTTCCTATAACGAATTCTATAACTACACAACTAATCCAGTCTCATCGAAAAGGTCGAAAAAGTGCAAAAAGTCACACAGACATAAGTGACAGGTATTTTTCGATCGCTCCACTTGAAAGATATTTGCATCCATTGTTTATTCTAGAATATTCTAACGTGTTTATAATAAATTTATAATAAATTTAACAAAATTCTAAATTCTAGAATATTCTAATGTGTTGCTGTAGAAAAGTACAAAACAGGTGCTGTTTAATTATAATATATATATATATATATCGAAGGTATTCACTTAAAAGTGCTAAAAAACTAATGAAATTGTCATAAAAGATTGTAGCACATCTTAAAAAATTAGTTTGCAAAATTTGAAGGATATAAAAAAATTATTGCCTGATTTTTAACAAAATTTGAGGTGCTTTTAAAAGATGCCCAATGTATGACAGATGTCTCATACCGCTTCAAAAAATCTTTTGAAAATGTGTTTAGAGCAATTAAGAAAAAATTACAGATTAGACGTAAAAAATTAGAGTTTGTTGGTGTGCTTATTACGTTATGTGGAAATTTGTACATTCCTCTTCTGTTGTACTTCACAAACTGTCTCCACTTATAACTCCTCATCGCACTCTCAAACCAAGCAGCTTTTTCTTTCAAGAATTGCTAGCTCAAGCGATATAAGTTTTTTAAGGCCGTGTTAGTATTGTAGCTTCTCTTCTATAGAATAAGTTTAAGACCTTTCAGGTTTCAGCTATTATTTACCCAATTTTTTACTTCTATAGCGACTTTTTATTGCTTTTTCTTCTAAAATTCTACCCCTTTGTTACAAAAAATAATAAAGTAACTCAAACATTCTTTATAAATTTTGCTTTCAGATTAGAAACAGAAGAAAAATTAACAAAATCAGAACTGGATATTGTCAAAGGTCTTATATTATGTATTGCTTTCGCGGCTAACATTGGTGGAATAGCAACAATTAATGGTACACCACCAAACCTCGTCTTCATGGGACAGCTCGAAACGTAAAAAACCTGTTTTGTTTCATTCAATGCATTATCGCAAGATCCACTTTTAATGATAGTACACACTTTTAATGATAGACAGCACTCACATCAGGAGATTTAATATCCTAGCAGTATTATAATTATGATATCGGTAAGAAAATATTCAACAAAATACATATTCTCCAGGTTTAGAAATTAAAGCAATAATATTCTAAAACCAAATTAAAATTTTAAAAGCAAACAAAAATGGATAAATATTATAAAATTTTTGAATCCATGGCTTTTTCTAAAAATTTTTCAACTTTATTTATTTTTCCTTAGTCGTTTCGTTTTCTTTTTCTTTTACTAATAATGTTTTAAAAAAAAGGTGAGATATGAAGAATTATCAAATTTTTTTCCATACTCATTGGGCAAATATTGCATATTTTCTGTATTTATTTCAGTAATGAAAAATTTTTAAAAATTTTTATCAATTTAATCAAATGGCAATAATTGAGGGAGCCATATCCTAAATTGATGTTTCAGGATGTATCCACAGCGAGAAACTGGTCTCAGTTATTTAACGTGGATGATTATTGCCTTTCCACTAATGTTATTTTGCCTTGCCATCTGTTGGTTGTTCCTTTGGTTTTTCTTCCTACGCAACATTTCTGTGGTCAATAATGAAGTACTGGTATCTGTAGAGGAATGTTATGCAAAACTACCCAGAATGAGGTGGTGCCCTTCATATTCCTAGTGGTATTGAAAGGATTAAATGATGCATTACAATTTTATAGTTATTTTGGAAAAATTAATATTTTTTTGCTAATCAAATGTATGCCAATGTGTTTCCATTTTATTCACCAATATTTCAAATAAACTTAAGATAGGGACCAGTAATAAGTTACTCATTAATCTCACTAATTTACGATATTAAAATTTATTCTCAGAAAAGGCAATTTATTTTTTAGTTTCGCTGAAAAAATAGTTCTTGTTTGCTTTGTTGTTCTTATTGCATTATGGGTATTTCGTGAACCACAATTTGCACCAGGATTAGGAAGCTTATTTCCAAAAGGGTTCTTTTTTTTTCCGTTTATAACTATAATGAGCCATTGATAATTTAGCACATTCTTTAATTTGTTTTAATTGTAATTTAATTGTAATTTGTTTTCGGAAAGGTAAATTTATTAAAAATCTGGTGCAAAAATGCTAGCCCATTAGCGAGTACCACTATACAATATTTTTAATTTTTCTTTGTGCAGGTATTATAGCGATGCAACAAGTGCTGTTTTAATTGCCATACTTCTTTTCGCGTTACCCGATGATGTGCCAGATATTTTATGCTTTTCGAAGAGAGGTAATGTTATGCTTCTTCAAATATCAAAATTTAAAAAAGTATATCTAAATTTAAAAGTAAAGTAAGTATAAAATATATATAAGTATATATAAAAAATATCAAAATTTAAAATTTAAAGTCCTTGGCTTCTATTTGATTATCTTGGCAAAAACTCTTATGTCACTTATTTTGCCATGCCACTTGTTTTCTATTAAATGTAATTTTATTGATTTGTTAAGGATTAATACCAATTATTGAGATTTTGTCATGGGGATCTTTTAAAAGCTATGATTTATTTCGTTATTTTCTTATGCTTTAAACCAAATCTAAGAAGATAAATTTAGATCTAAATCAACGACCAAAACGTCAAGGCTCAATCATGGATTGGAAAACCGTACAAACACATTTCCCTTGGAATATCGTTTTATTACTCGGTGGTGGATTTGCATTGGCATCAGGTATTTTTTAGATTATCACTTTAATGAAAAAGATTCAGCTAAACAGGGTAATGCTTTGTTCAATTACCGTCAATTACAGTTATAAGTTACGAATTAACTAATTCCCTTAGATTAAGATAGAATTTTAAGTAGAATAGAATGAAAAGACTTTCTTTCTTGATAAATTGTCACAATCCAAAACTAATCAATAGTAAAGAAAAATTTCCCATGGAGGGACCATTTTCATGTTGTATACCCCAAGTATTCTTAAAATAAACTATTTCTACACTCATTGAATTTTATTATTCTTAACACTCCATAATTTTCACTTATGCCCCATTAATATTTCATTCTCATTGAATCATTAACGATTTTGTGAACCATAAGTGAGCTTGCGGCTAAGGTAAAAGGTAAAAGATATAGGGGAGGTTTCACGGACACAGCATTATTTGACTGGTTTTGAAAAAATGTAAATGAATATTTCAAAGAACTCACTATGGGCTAAGATTGCTCTCATTTTGATGCTGTGGCCCACTTCCTTTTGAGGCGCACTCTAGTATCTTAATGCAGCGTTCCCTTACATTGTGTTCTTAAGAAAAAAGAAACATTTAAGCAAATAAATAACAAACAGCTAGAGAGTGAAAAAGGAAATTACTTGTTGCCTCAATCAAAGTGCCATGTCTCAAGTTAAAAACAAACGCATGAAAGATTGTGGTGATGGAAGATAGATAAAATAAATTATTGCAAGCTCGGCGAGAAAATCATATAGTAATAGAAAGGATTCAGGATAAAAGGGTAAGAAAAAAGAAAGAGTATAGATGTTTTAGTCCTTTGCTACCGTTAATCTATTGCGGATGATTCGTTCAAGTATCGGTTGTACGGTTTAATTACACAAGCTTGAGGAAGGAGAAAATTTTAATGATACGTGCGGTGAACAATTCTACTACTGCCTCAAAGCAGCCGGATCAACTAATTTTTAAAACACTATAAATTCGCTGCTCATACAACACTCGCAATTATCACTTTATTTTTTTAGATGTACTTTATACTTTATATCCATATTAAGATATTACATAGCATTTTGATTGTAGGTATTAAATCATCTGGATTATCTGATGAAATTGGTGGTTTTCTGTCAAAATTAAAAGGAGTTTCATTACCTATTTTGCAATTTTCATTCATTATTATGGCTATGGCAACCACAAACTTATGTAGTAACACGGCAACGGCGAGCATTTTTCTTCCAATTATTGCGAGTCTTGTAAGTTTAAGTTTCTTTGGTTGCAGCACAAAAGTAGAAAATTTAGTTTGGCATACTTCGATGGATTTAAAAATCAGATGCATGAATTATTCAAAATAATTTCATTTTTTCCAACTTCTATTTTATTCTCAAACTTTAGGCAGAAAATATAAAAGTACATCCATTTACTCTTATGTTGCCTGTAACTATGGCATGCTCGTTTGCATTTGCATTACCCATTGGTACTCCACCAAATGCTATCGCCTTCTCTTGTGGAAAACTTAAAGTATCTGATATGGTAACTCTTCTTTTCGTTATTGATATCTGATTTTGAAATTGGAGACCAATTCTTGCATTTCACTTAAAATAACGATGAAATTTTTTTTGCAGGTTTTATGTGGCACTATTATTTCTGTCGTGCTAGCTGTAATTTTGCTTGCATATTTTTCATCGTTCGCGTATTTGATTTTTCCTTTGAGCACACTACCAACTTGGGCGCTTTCAAATTCATCTTCATTTGCAAATGTATAACATGCCTCCTTTGTAATATTTATATTTGTTTATGCACATAGCTTTTTTAAATTTATTTGATAAGATATTTTTTCTCTTTTAATTCGTTTTTTGATTTATACTTTCGACCAAATCCACCTTTTAAATAAAGAATAATAATATATGACGTGGGTAAAGCATTTTAAAAAATGGTTAGCAGTTATCCAGAATGCGAAAATGCAGAAAAAACAAGTATTATGCGAAATATGCAATTTTTCAAGAATGGTAAGCAAGCTACAGCGGAAGCAATTCTAAATCTATGCTCCCACATGGTGCTTACCATCCATTTGTACTTCTATTGCCAAATAACTTCCCTAACAAAATTTGTCTGACCCGACAAACCAGCCGATTAAGCTTAATCAGAATCCGTGAACACTTTAAGAATCTGCATTCTCATATATATGTGCGATTGTTATGCGATTCTTGATCCTTATTATTTGGGAATATATAGACATTTATAGAAATTATTCATTATGCCTATATAATTAATAATAATAAAATAATAATATGTCCACTAATGGCAATAAAGACAGAGAGATTTTCTTACTATAATAATATGCCTTATACTAGAAAACTGTACAAATTATATATCATAAATATCTCGTATTTATTTTCAGCAAATATTTCACTTGCGACCCGCCATTTAATCATCAGCCTAACCCAATGCGATATTGCAGACTCATCTATATTTCAGTCGTTGTTCATAAATTATTATTCGCTCGAAATCTCCCGTCAGTTCCTTCCATCATCGTAAAATATATAATTTAATGCATTAGTACCAACTTAGCTTTAATTACTCTTAAAAAAGTTATCCGCCATTACAGTTTGAAAATTAGAAATTTTCTGCATTGAATTGAATATGTCCGCGATTTCCAAGCGCCAATTTGCCATCTAAAATGAATAAATAAATACTGAAATAGTTAAATTATGTTATGAACGTGCACAATGAACTAATGCAGAAATGTTTGAATGGGCAAAATAAATAAAATTTAGGAAATAATGTTCTATTATAATAATTATTCGATAATCAAAATAAAACTAGGAAAATGGCAGACCAAATCGGGTTTTCGTTCCAAATACGTTAGCTGCTTTCTCGTTTAGATAAGTCTTATACCGCATAACGAAGCAACTATAAGCGCAGAATGATATTAGGCACAACGTACCGATTAAAGAAAATCCTGACCAGAGCAATGATGTTCGTGAGGAACTGAAATCTGCTTGCGCAGACTCAACCTCCATTGAACAAGACTAAAAAATTATTTTATCACTTATAGACGGTTCACTTCATTGTATTATTTAGTCAACAATGTATGAAAATATAAAATCAACGGAACCGGCTCTTTCCAGTGAATATATTTGAAGGAGTCAGGGTAGAATATTAATGAAAGAAAAAAATAAAGAAGATATATTATCTGGTACAACCTCGATATTTGTTACTTTAAAGGCCTGATATAACCTCGACAACATGCTTTCATTATTCAACGTTGATGATAAAATAGATATAATGCTCTCTTGGCTTAGAATTTCATCGTTTCTTACAGAATGAAAACAAACTGATGATCTGAATCATTTATTTATTTATTTACAGTAATTTTAAATCATTAAAATCATTATTATCATTACTACTTTATTCATATTTAATGACTATTATTTATTGAACTAATTAAACATTTTTTAATTTTTAAATATCAATGCAATGAGAATTTTTCAAAGGTTCAAAAATCAAACGTATCGCCAATAAAGAATTCATAAAAATTAGTCAAAATTTACAAATTAAAGGTTGAGTTCTATAAAGAAATAAAATAAAATAATATTATATTATCACAAACCGATTTTTGCTTGATGAAGCGTAAAGACGAGGAGATGAAAAAAAAAAAGTTATATTAGCGGAATTTGGATCCATTTCTAAAGTATTCATGAGCTGTCTGCAAATAATTTATGAAATAATGATTGTTTGAAAAATGCTTTCGTCTTAAAAATTAATCACAATTAATTTTTTGAGAAATCATCGTTAAACAGACCTTCATCATCGTTAAATAAACATTCGAATAAATTTAATCGTTCTTCTATTTCATGAATTAAATCCGATGATTCTTTTTAAATTTTTACGAAATGAAGAAGCTTTTAAAGAAAAAAATTCAAAAATAATAAAGAACAAAATGATTTTCTACGTACTATATTCTTTTTTTTTAATCTAAATTTGTGGCTTGGTTGTTTCCAGTGATTAAGAGCACTTCATCAGAGATTCATTTAAAAGTGCTAGTGATGGCTCTCTAGCTCCATTGCATTGCAAATGCAAATCGGTCCGACGCCATCGTTAGTAGTAATAGAAGCCATTCCTTTTTCCATTGCTTAAGTCCATATCGCTAGTCCCCCTATACGTCCGAAATTTTCTTTGGCTGTATTAGTCCACGCCTCGATTGATCCATCTTGCTTTTGACGCCAACCATCACAGGTTTTGGCAAGTAGCGAAATATGCGTCAATTTCTGTGGTAGACGATGCAGAATGTGCCCTAACCAGCGAAGGCGACGTTCTGTGATAACATTATTAATACAGGTGCTATTTGAGCGAAGGTGGATACAATCATGTGTGATTTTATTAGCTTGATGGATCCATAAAATATATGTTAGACATAAATGGGCAAAAACTGATAGCTTTTTGATACCTTCCACTCTCATTGGCCATGTTTCGCAGATATAAGGCAAGATCGAGCGAAGTGCATCTATATGGACATGGATTTTCGCCTTTATGGTGATTTTTATGGTCTTTATGGCGACGGCTCAATAAAGGTTTCATCAATCAGAAAACATTTTCTAGCTGCCAGATTACAATTTCATCCTTTGCCTGGCCATTTGGAATTAGAGTGGATCCAAGATATTTAAAGTTGGTCATTTCGTCAACCGGCAATAAATTGATAAAATATTTTATCAGCATCTTGTATATATGAAGAAAGTGTTGTTTTATTGATTTTAAGTCCAATTCTCGCTGCAGTTATTGACATTATTTAACATTATTTGCATTATAATTGTCAGCAAAAAGGACTACATCATCAGCGAATTCAAAATCTCTGATGCTATGCTTTGGACTGATTTTGCACATACCTTGTGTGCTGACAAACGGTGTCCATTACCCAGTCTATCGCATAGTTCAATATTGTAGAGAAAAGGACGCAGCCATGATGAACACCAGTTCTTATTTCGAAGGAGTCTGTCAGTTCCTCACTTACACAGGCCTGCACCAGGGTATGCTGATAAAATATCTTTATGAGCCAAATGATCTTCTCTGAGACAGCGTCACATTCCATCACTTTCCACAGCTCTAACCTATCAAACAAACCGAAGGTAGATGCAAAATCGATTAAGCAAGTGATGGTGGGTTACTAGTATTCGAATCGATGCACTCTTCTTAGCCGTCCAATTTAAATCCAGCTTGGTTAGAATGCATTCTACTATCTCGTGTTGGCATGAGTCTATTTAGCAGAAGAGAAGCGGAAATTTTTCCGGAGATGTGGGCTGATTCCTCGGTAACTGTCACAGTACGTCTTGAAATCTTTCTTAGAAATTGGAAGAATTTCTTTACTTCTATCTTCTGTTTTGCCATACCAGAGAATACATTTGTTGAAGATGAGTTATTAATTATTAACACTGACAGATAATATAAGAAGAGTTCGAAGCCCGGATACCATCTTCTCCGAGAGTTTTATAAGCATTAAGTTTATGGATCACAGAGATTATTTGTTGCAAGTTCATAGTTGCATAAGGCTCGACGAGCGAATCAATTATATCTGGGATAATAGATGGCGTATCGTGGTTAAATTTGGCAAAAAATTTTTTCATCATATGAGGCGATCCTTTATAGTCTTAAGAGGCGCCTCATTAATATCCCGTATTATTTCACTGAACCTTTCTCTAGTTATAGTTGCTTTGTAAAGAAGGCGAAACAGCCTTCTTTTTCTATCATCACCTATCCAAAGTCACCGCCTTAATTCTCAAGGCCATATAGCTCTAATAGCGATTTCTATCCTGCCATGTTGCTGTCGTTGTAATTCTTCAAAGCACTCGATAATCAGGATCTTCTGATATTCGGGCTTTGGCAGCGTTTCGAAGCATTGATTAAGGAATTTCCAGCGTGTTTGACAAAAATTTTTTGGTTTACGGCAAAATTAAGCTATAAGCCTTAGCGAGTAAAATCTTACTGCTGAAAATCGCCGATATTTAGACCAAGAATGTCGGCTTCTTGATTGAATATGAAATTCAACATAGAGGATTTCTTCACATTGTGAATCTAAACAATGTTACTGTTACTGTTAAAATATTATTAATTCAAATGTACTTACAGCTTTGATTCATATTTAGATTAATTATAGTTCCGATTATTCTATTTCCATATTGAAATCCTTTCCCTAACCTCTTTAATACTTTTTTGATTTTACAATTTTTAAAACAAGAAAACCTTCGTAAAAAGATAATTCTGCGATGAGTTGAAAGGTGTATTTTCGTGATAAATCGCAATTTTTAAGAGATAAATTCCTTCTTGACCATCAAAAAGCGATGGGTCGATGCGAACATCACCAGTATTTCTGTCAACGGCGAAATGAAAACTGGCAGGAATCGTGGATAATGGAGCGGATTCCGAACTAAATTCTCTGATCTTAATGTATTGTTACATATACGAAAATTCACTCGAACTATAAAAAATAATTCCTTATAAAGGGAAATTAATTTGCAAAAAAAATTTCAAATCAATCAAGAAATAAAAAAAATTTGAGCATCACTGAGGAGAAAAAATATAAATTCATCCTGAGAGAAAAGCTTGACTTAAATAATAGATAAATAATAGAGAATAATAGATAAATAATAGATAAATAATAAATAACTTACGGTGTGAATATTACCGAGTCTAAATGATATTTCACCGAATTATTAGAACTAAAAGAACCAAATGACAAAGGCACTGAATTTTCTTCATATCCTGAAATATTTCAAAGATGTTTGTAAAAAATGGTTTCATTTGTAAGAGGATTTTTTTGCTTTGTTTTTAAAAGGTTCTTGCAATTTTAATAGTACCTAGAGAGAACGAAAAATTCTTACAAAACATACCAAAAATAATGATGCTATTGTTGATAAATCTATAATCCGGATAATAAGCTGACTTGTTTCGTGATCTAATTTCGACAACTAATGAAATCATACTTATATTCCTTCGATCAAATTCGATATTGAAAACATCATTCACGTTGTAAGAACTGAAAAGATCGGCTGAATCATATATATGTATATCATTTCTTGACTAACAATAGATTTATTTCTAGTTTCTTTTAATAACTCCTATCGTCTCTGGCTTAGCTGGATGCCCGCAGGACGAAGCTGTCACCAAAAAATTACATAAGCACACCGAGTAATCATCACCATCCGATCTAATAATGAAATGATACGAAAAATTGAATTCAAATATTGGGTAAATATTTGTAAATAAAACTAGCAGAAAAGAAGAATGAAATCATTATGAGGAAAAATTGTTGAAGAAGATTATTAAATAAAAGATAACGACAAAAATTACGTTGCAAGTGCGCATAGCCAATGTTCCTTTTTGGTTAGACTGGCAACATCGTTCACTGATATTACTCCAGAAAACTTGTCTATTGCAAATTTTCCATTCTCATTTGAACCTGAATATTGTAAATTGGACTAAGCCACCCAAAAACACTCAGAAAATGAATTCATAAATTTTTTTTTAAGCAATGAATTCTTAAAATAATTTCTTATAATAAATTAAGCTGAAAATCTTATAAGGTTTTAATTGAAGCTTGATTTTTCCATTTAAAAATGAAAAACTCATATTTTTCAAAAAATTCGCAATAATTAGCTCATTTTCATCGTTTTTTTAGCGATCTAATGGATACATTAAATAAATTCTTGGATCCACTGAAAATTATTGCTACACCCCACACTGTATTAGATTGCGATAAGGAAAATAAAGCATGAAAGATAAATCTAAATGTGAATATTCTAAGCGAAAGATTTTAATTGATTTTATATAAAATCAGCAAAAAACTGACATGAAGGAATTAAATAATAGTAAATATGATTAAATGGGGTAGCATCACGGTCAAATGCTCGAATCTGACCAACAAACACTTTTCCACTATCTGATTCGTCGTGATCGATGACAAATACACGTGGAATTGACTAAAATATATTTCATTTACATTCAGATATATTTGCATTTATATTTTTACCTTTATAAAATATTTCGATATGTCAAAAATTATAAATATTCAAGACTCCATTACTCAAATCGAACAAAAGAATTAATTTTTAAAAAACGTTTATACTTCGTTAGCTTTCTGGAACACCGGCAAATTATCGTCGAGGTCGTTGATGAAAATTCTCAATAATCTTGTTGAAATCATTTGGGGTACCATTACGTTCTGAGCCATAATTCTTAACTGAAATTATAAGTTATTTTAATATAAAATGAAAATAAACTATTTATTGAATATTATTTTTATATTTATTGTCATAACATAATTATTTTTTAAAAGAATTTAAAAAGATATAAAATATAGGATTAATTCTATTTTAGTGTGATATCGAACACTAATGGATTGCTTGTTAATCTGGCCATTTTTATATTTGATAGCCTATCTTTTTAAATCATAATGTACCTCTGTTGTTTTATGCATTAAATTATGATGGGTGCAGCCAATGTTTTAGGTTTTATATTTATATATTTAATTTTTTCTGCCATTAAAAATTTTTTATATTAATTTTTAATGCCATGAGCAAATTAATACGATATCTTGGTTTGATCATAAAATGTCTCTTGCCACATTGTTGGAATAATTGAAATCGTACGTGTGAATAGTTGATATGTCAAAACAATTCGAAAATTTTAGTGAATTTTCATCCAATTTCAAAAATTTATAAGTTTTCTACTTCTATATAAAAGAAATTAATAAAAATCAAAAAAATCAAAAAGACTGATTAAAAATGAAAAACTGATTCGATCAAGAAAATATCATTTCAGTGGAAACTGAATTCATCAACTTTTTCAGCACTTCATTCTTCACATGCATTCGACCCAGAAAAAAAAGCAGAAATTACATTGACTGGAATCTGCATTAAAAAAGCATTAAAAATGAATAAAGAATACAATATTATTTATATAGAATTGCACATCCATAGTTAAATTTGGTACAATATTCATGCGTACATAATTATCAATCATCTACTGAACCAAAAGTTTCAAAATTTAGAGCTCTATTCGGATGAGAAAATTAGCTATGTGAACCTGTGCCAAAGAAAATATTAAAAAATTACAATTTTACAAAACAATTTAAAAGCGCGTACTGGATCTCAGCACAAATAATTAGGTACCAAATGGATTTACTGATATTAACAGATATAATAATTAGCAGAGTGAATGTATGATCTGCAAAATCTTTATAATAATCTAATCTTTAATGCCATTAGCAAAAATTTAATTCAACAATTCAAGTCTAATTTAAAATAAAAAGAAATGAGAATAGAAATAAAAAGAAAAATAACGAATTAATTAAAGGATAGATATTCTTAATGCTATAATATTTAATGCGATCAAACTTCCAGCTTCCAGTTTCACTGGATTGCTACCAAATCTGAATTGCTCAACATTCGGTACCGGTAAGTCTCTTTGCGCTTTACTCGTTTTACTCAAATTCCAGTAATCTTTGTGGCAAATACCAGTTTCGGGATGTTGAAATGGCAATAATGAAGAATAGAAGCGACGATAAATTCCTGTATCAACATATATTCTATAATTCTCTGATCTGCTTAATTTTTCAGTGATTTCTAGAAAATATTAATGAAGAATGGCTAACATAAACAAAGCACAGAGGAGTATCAAGGAATATTCAGTGATCCTTGTGCTTGTCTCGAAGAATTGTAAATTCAATTATAAATTCATTTAATCAATTAATCAAATTAATATGACTCAGACTTTTTTATTATGCTTAAAAATTTTTATGGTGGATATTAAAGAAAAAGTGATCTGCTTTTAAAAAATACCGAATCAAACAAATCTATCAAAGGAAAAAAGATTTACGAAAAAAGAATTTTTTTTAACTAGTTCGCTCATAAGATGGTACTCTGGATGATATTATGATTAAAATAAATGAAAATTTTTCGATGATAATTAAGTGAGAGCTACAAGAGTAAAAAAATAAAAAATATATATATATAATGAAAATTCATGATAGGTGATAGGTACTCACCCATTGATGAATGTTTTACGCTAAAATAAATTAGTTTGAATAAGATTTATCACCTTGAAAACTGCCCAAATCCTTATTTCGCAAGCAATTCTCTTCGGTGACAGCCGAAATTAAAGTTAATGGCAAATCAATTTTGCTTTTTAAATTCAAAACACGAAGATTGTTTTTTCGCAATGACAAGTGAAGTGCATCCTTCATTCTGCGCAAATTATTTAATATAAGAAGCATCACAACTTTTTTTATTAAAAATTCCTCATATTTAGAAACGATTGTTTGATAAGAAAAAAAAAAATTTAATAAGAGGAATATTTTTCGTCTTTTTTTTGGTCTAATTTTTTGATCTATTTTTTTCCAGACAACTTAATCCACAATAATGAATGTTTGTATCATACTTCACTTTTTTCAAGCATACCTCTTTTCAGCACTTCGTTGCCGAAATTTTTCTGGAACAGACCAATGAAGTTCACATGCTATTCCTATTAGATTGATTTCTTCATTAAACCACAAGTTAAGTTCGTTAATTAAATCATTCACTAATTCGAGAATACCACCATTAGACAATTCAAAAATAGTTGTCACATATTTGGTTTGAAGGATATTTCGTGAAATTAGAAGTGCACTAATATCATAATCTGGAATATCTGCTTCAATATCTTCGAAATATGACTTTGTATGAAAACGTGGTATCTGATAACAAGAGAGACACTTTTTGCATTCATTTTCACCTTCAAAAACGTACCATGGTCCTGGCCGGCATTGCCGATGATATGGCTGCAAAACTGAAATTTCCTGTGGGGAAAGATTTGGCGAATTGTTAAGCGAGAGATAATATTTACCAAAGTAGTCAGAAAGATAACCACTTTCGCGGCCACTGGAATCGGTAGCACATTCATCCACTGAGATATCTAATTCAATGGATTTTTGCTTGTATTTTACAGAAGGTGTTTGATCCGAAAAACAATCTGTTTCTTCCAGTTCAAGTTCAACTGTTCCCTTATTTCTTGAATTTGCTTCATGATAATTTTTACCAGCATAATTCCTAATTTTTTGAGTTCTGTTTGCAGAGATAATCATTTGGCTCGACTGAAAGAATTCTTTGTTTTTGATAAATTCAGGCTCACATAATGATTTGGAATTTAATGGTCTTATTTTATCAATATTAGCAATTTTAGGAGTGACTGATTTCCAGAACTCGCAGATAACTCCAACACAGATAACGTGGAAATATGTCAACTTAAAATATATTGATTTTAATGATACGAGAATATTCGTAGACTTGTCCAAGCGCGCTACAATATTGCATGCACTTCTATCTCCCCTCTCATTATTTCGTTTATTTGTTAAATTTTTTTCGTCAGTTTTTCTCTCGTTATTTTCAGTTCCTGAACTAGAATCGCTAGCAGTACGACGTTTTGATCCTTGACAAGATCTATTTTTAACTCGCTGAAGTATTTTCTGGAACTTTTTGTCTAAAATTCCCATGTTGACATGGTGGTTCGATGCTATATTATGTTAGCTGGAACATGCTTTTTCTGAAATTTTGGAGTTGCATAAGTCGATTGCGATTAAATTTATCAAAAGACGCAAATTCAATAAATCTCAACACGAATTATCGAATAACGGCAAGTGATAAAACATGAAACCCAGAAGGTTAGATAATTGTTTTAATTTGCATAATGTAAAATATTGACGACAAAATTTTATTAACAGAATTAAGCAAAAAATTCATTCCGTGAAAAAATTTATACTGTCGTAAGATTGAGGTTGATTATTCCAAAAAAATACAATTGATACCATAAATCATTCCATATGCACAGTTACGATGAATTAAATGCCTCCTTAAATAAGTGATTCGCTTGCAAAAATCCCATCTAGCAAATGACAGTTAAACGCAAGAAGAAACTTAACTAGGAGCTAATTTATTTATTCGTCGCATTTATTCGACAAATAAAGGTATTTTTATTGAATTTCTAATTTCTAATAACTAATTTGCACCGCGTTTTATGCTCTCGAAAAATTATCGAATCAATTATTGACGATGAAAGGCTTATTTGCAAAATTTTTTAAAAATCGCAAGAAAAGGAATGAAGGCTAATGAGAAAAAGAGTTTATGGTAAAAAAGCAACCCTGTTCTCATGTTCCACTTTGATTTCATCAATACTCCCTCAAAAAAAGTGATAAAAATCTCAAATTTAAATGAACTAATTGAGGTGAATCGTACAAAATGAAAAACGTAATAAGGCTTAATTCATGTGTAAATTAATAAGACTAAACGATATTATATGAAAAGCTGGAAGCTTTGGACCATGAAACTATTATTGGTTAAAAAATCAACCACGAGAAAAAATTTCGATGCACTATACTGAGAAATCTTTTGTGGGACAATAACTTGAAACCAAATATTAGTTTATTTCTTTAGAGAAAAGGCAATGAATAATCTGACAATGATACAAGAATGAATGATAAAACTTAGGAAATGCAGCAGACATTTTACTACGCAATACTGTTTAATCAACTGTTTGATTATTGACAACAGAAGTACTTAAAAGAATCTATTGTAGAGTGAAGAAGAAAGTTTACGAAAAGCAGTAAAAGCAGTCATTCGATTTTTTACCAAAAATTTTTGCGTAATAAAAACTTTTTTTATACAAATGTAAAATATTTTCACAGGTAAAAATGCAAAGAATCGAGAATTTAAAAGGGTTATTTTAAGCATCTGCAAAACACATTATGTACCATTTGTCACCGCGTACCATCTATACGCCGGATTAGAATGTACGATTATTTTATTTTTTATGCATCTGCCAGGTGCAGAAATGGGGCGTGAAGATGCGAAAATTTATAACTGGTTGTAATAAAATGCCATTTCATAAATCGTTTTTGAAAATATTTCATGCTATTGTGCTTATAATATTGGAACATTGCAACGAAACGCTGTTAATCGCTATATTTTTTGAAGCATTACTATCTGTCACTAATAAAACAAATGCTACGATTTAAAAATTTGTATTTAAATTCCTCTATTTGATAGATTTGAAAACAAATTAAGAATGAATGATAAGAATTGTGCGATAGATATAAATGGTAAAAAAATTGGAAATTTTATTACTTCTTAAGGCCAATTTTATATCCAATTAGCCAATTTTCAACAAAACTGGACTGCAATCGAATCAACAAAGTTTTAAAAATGAAAAGAAGGATAAAGAAAAATCAGAAAGACTTCGAAAGGCCTTAAATTCAGCACAAACTGCTTAAAACAACGTTTTACGGATAATGAAAAAATATCCGTCAAATAAGCAGTAGCCAGTGATTGCTGACTCTCGTAAGAATGTGTGAATGCCATTTAAAAATTTAGCTTTATCGGAAAAACCATTATATTTCTATCGCTAAGAAATTCTATGGTTTTATCCTATCAACAGACAAAATAGTGCCAACTATATGTTTGCTCGCTCTTGAAAAATTGTAAAAAGTAGTATAATTAATCTCTTCAGAAGGACTAATAGTACGATTTACATTATAAAAGACAATATGTTATATATGTTATATATTTTACAATTTAAAAGAAGATAACTTCAGATACAAAATGTGGAAAATTTGAAATGAATTCCCCAAGGGAAAATGTTGCACTTTTTATACAAAAATTTCTTGTTTTTCTATTTCCTATCTTTCAGTGATAATGAATTTTCAATAATTATAATAATAAAATTTATTGTAACAATTATAAACAATAATTGTTACAATCTGAAGTGGAAATATTGAAAAATGGTACATATAATGGTGCAAAAGTTATCAAAAGAATTATTAATAATTGATGCACAAACATATTTTTTTGAAGAAATAATTTAAGTCGATCACTTTTAACTTAAATTGGACAAAAGAAGCTGCTGTTTCTCTGCCATTCACTGTTCTGGCAATTCTATGGAAAAAAATTAAAAAACTATCTTGAATTAATCCGAAAATTTTCTTCTTAAGATTTAGAAAGTGGTGACACTATCTGCGCTAGACGTTAGTACCATTACCTATTTGTAAGCAACCTGACAGCAAGCTTACGATAGTACAGACGTGTCAAAAGCATTTACTGGCAAGCATACTCGAGGGCAAAAGTTAATTTCCTCACAATACACGATAATCTCTCTCGGAGCCACTGGGCCATTATGTCTTCAATTCCTCAGTGCTTTTCAGCAAAATATAGGAATATAATCGTAACTAAATGGAAATATATGTAAATAAATATAAAAAACAAAAGTGTTCACTTTAAACAATTCATAACAATTCGTAATAAACGATTTTTTTGCAGTAAAAGGTTGAATAAACCCTTTGATGATAATTAATGACTATTTTAATGAATTGGAAGAAAAATACACTTCGTTCAGTAAATGATGAATTCGTTGGTTGAAATTCATCGAAAATTAAAATGCGAACAGAAAAAACTTCAAATTAAAAAAGATCGACCTAAAATTATTTTTCTATTTTCCTATTGAAGCAATTCTTCCAAATGCGTTCCAAAATTTTAATCGCAATCAAAATTCAATTATAGTCAATATTTCAGTAATTTCTCAAAGAAAAAGAAAAATTCTTTATTTTTGAGATAACAACAACACAATCAGCGTTCAGCGCTTAAAAAAATGCATCAAAATATTAAATGGAACTATTAAATGAATATTTCCCATTACACTCGCGAAACGCAATAATGTCCTGCAGAAGAATGGAATGGAAGAATCAAAACGTTATAAAGCCTGGGAGTATGAAAAAAAGGCCATTTGCTATTGCTGCAGTGGAAATACTGCTCATTTATTGGCTCCATAAACGTTTTTTTGAGGACACTCAGAATTTCTAGTTAAGCTCGCTTCACAAATTCGTCGGTTCAGACAAATGACAATTTCTCCATGCTCTCAACTGCAAAGAGAAATATAAATGATCGATCGTCAGTAGAGCCATTCTATCCCTGGTAAATTAAGAGGAGACAAAATCTATTTGATCCATAAGTTGTAAAGTTGTTCACTTTAGATTTGCCAAGTTCCAATTAGAATTAATGAAAATTTCTGACTGCCAATTTATTTTTTAAAAATATAACGAACTGTTAAAATGAATTGCATCGATATCTATTGTCCATGATCATAACCACACTCAAAACCTAATAAAATCCTAACAACAATTCAATCAATTCAATGGTGTTATGAAAAATGATTTAGACAGAAAAATTGGCTATAAAATTGACCAAAAAAATAAAACTTTTGGCCCAGAGCTATTTTAAGAAAAATAAGAAAATAAAAATGACCGGCATGATAGATGAATCGTCATCATCAACCGAGTATAATTCCTTATTTCGATTAATGCAATTTAATTTATTTACAACCATGTGGGACAAGCGCCATGTGCTCGCATTAACAGTAGTGATAAAATTTAAAAAATGTGACCAAAAGCTAACAATATAATGAGAAATAACAAAAATAAAGGGAAATTATATAATAGTACAAATCGAATATATTACTGATTCATTATTTCCTGAAGCTTTTAAAAATAGCTAAACAAACAGGTCGTTGGGCAGCTTATTCCAGTAATTAATGGTGCGAATGAAAAAGGCATGATCTCTTTTGATAACATGCTAAAATTTGCTAAGGCCTTTTTGTTATAAATTTGAAAAATTCGGGCATTTTTTACTGCTTCGCATATTTTGTTTTCTTACCACGTTGATTGATGTAGGCATCGCTCCGCTTGCTGTGATCTCTAGTTTCTTTTCATTTCAGAATATGAAAGGGTGTCACTTTCGGGTTGTGGTATTTTATGAGTTCAAGATCGGGTGTTGGACTGCAAAAGCAGCTTTTAATGTGCAGTTTTTGGTAACTATGCTTCCAGTTAAGTTACGGAGATCTCATATTGCGGAAGCGACCCAAGGAAATGGTGGAGGCTAAGCCCAGAAAGAGTTGAACAGATTAAGCGCAAGAACCTGGAGTTTCATGTGGAATCGCCTGCGTGCAATGGAGAGTTTAAACTAACTCAAGAACTGATTGATCAATTAGATGAAAAGTTATACTGCAACATAAAAATGATCCATTTCTGGAACGATCCTTTACTTGCGAAGAAAAATGGATTCGATAATAAACAGATTCGGCACAGTGGCTGGATAAGGATGAATTTTACCTAATTATGCTACTTGATATTCATTCGAAAAAGGCTGTAGTAATTGTTTGGTAATCCAATAGATAATGCTTGGTAATGCAAGATTGAACCAACATAACTTCTTGGGAGTACAAAAGATTCATATAGTAAAAAATTAAAAATAGTCCACCGAAATTATAAACACCCAGTGAAAAGATCCTATAATTCTGCATAACCACTTTACAAAAAGTAGTGGAGTCGAACTTTTCTTCTCATTTTTTCCGGATCTTTCACGAACAAATTTTCACGTCTCTTATTCTCTCAGCAATTTTCTTACGAAACTTCACTTTCGAAAGTAGAAGAATCTCGAAAACGTCATAATC